ACCGTTACGATTATAAAAGCTGACGTTTCGAGCGTTAGCCCTTGGTCGGAAGGGCTTGAAACGTCAGCTTTTATAATCGTAACGGTGGCCAATTTACCATTTCAACTTTGTTGATATATTCAAATTATTTCGTTACCCCCACCGACGCAGCCCCAAACAGTTCCTTAGAAACGATCAGCCTTTATTTATTTGATTGTCACTTGCGCATGGCCTCACAAACCATGCGGGTAGTGCAGAACGAAAAGAATGGAGGGACATGATGTCTACTTTGCAAAGCTTCCACGAGTCGCATTAATTTCAAAATGAAATGGGCCCACGTGTGTCAAATGAGTTTTTAAATAAATGACATTCGCTTGTCACCTTTCAGCTTAAAAAGCTAGAGGCAGTCTTCAAGGTTAATTTTGATGACGACGATGAGATTGCCTTCATTTTCATCTTAGCCCGCGTAATTCGAAAGTTTCACTGAAGGCCCAAGAAAGAGCAGGAACTGCGTGTTCGCTCACTTTTCTAAGGTGGACTTTTGTTGCGCTGCCTAACATAGCTGGAAGTTACCTACACAAAACAGAACAGTGTCAGTTGTAAAATCCCATAGTCCAGTCTCGGATAGCCTGCGTTGCAGCCGGGTGTGTCACAGGCTAGTCTCGTACTGAGCGCCAAATTTATCTTGTCAAGTTATGCCTTAAATATTTCTAGCACAGAATGAATGGTTGGTAAGGTCTTGCAGATGTTGATATATAGGAAGGCGTACTTAATGGCTCAAAAATGTAATCATTTCCAGTCTATTTTTTTTTTATCTTCAAGATGAAGATTAATATTCTATTTTTTTCCGAAAAAAGGTATTTCTAATTATCGAATACAAACCGACGACATTACACATCGGACAACGGATATTAATTTTACGACTTATCCTGCGAAGCTTAAAGAAATACTGCGTCGATGAAAACACAGCTGCGAAACAAGACAGTTGTTCGACTTCAGTTGGGTTATCACTGAATAAAGTTTGAACTCGGCTTTTGCCCGTAAAATATTCAACTATTCATCCGACTACAACAAAAAAACCATGATAGTGGAAGAAGTAAACCGTTCACTAGGTGCGACCTGTTTAATTTGTAATTTTTCAGGTTCTCGATGAAAGGATCAAACATGCTGGCAAGTATAAACAAACCAAGAATCGCCAGAACCTGACAAGTAAAACACAATGAAGTGAATGATACTCTCATCCTCACTTGAATGTTATAATATTCTTTTACATCACGCAGATGGTTGCAGCCTTGCACAATAAAATTAAAAATGGTGGCCGTTACTTACGCTACGCGGCGAACACAACATTCCTTGAAAAATGGCTTCCCAAAGGGATCCAACGGTTTTGCAAGCCACGGGAAAGAGTACAGCGGTGAGCTGCAAGAAGAACTTGAAGAGACACCTTTGTCTATTGCTGTAATGACCTACTTGTCCTATTTCTTCTTGATAATCTTTGGCTACATGCGTGACTTTATGCGTAAGTACCGGTTAGAGCAGTCCAAGTCTGTTCAGGAAACAGGAAATGAGGTAAGGATATAACTTTAAGTAATAAATCCTGTTTGTGCACAGATGAAATTGAAGAGAGAGTAGTTTCGCTGTAGGATATGCAATATCCGAAACTGGAGTTATAAATTAGACAATTTAAGTGTGCTAGCGCATAGACCTTACGTATAAACAAACATTTACGATTCGCTACGGCAAGCATGACATTGAAAACTGTTTTTGCCGCCAAGGGAAAATTAAGGGTAACGTAAGAAATTAGTTACTAGTACCGATGAAATATGACTCTGGAAAAAACGATAGAACGCGATGTTATTTAATTAGTCACGGCGAGGTACACTGTTGTGGGCAACGT